AAAAGGTAGTATATAATAGGTTATATATACCAAATATGAAACTTAAACACGTTCATGGCAAAAAATATTAAAAAAGGAAACAAAAATATTTAGAGAATATTTACTAACCATTATTCTTTAGATTTTCCTAGATTTTCGGATGGTGGCTCATAAACCGTTGGTAGAAGATACATTCTACCAAATTTTCCATTAGTTTAACTAGTGGAAACGTAATCCCACGAGTATAGACAAAACATTAAAACTAAGAAGATATGTTCTGCCAAGGTAGACGGATGGGTCTTTAGTATATGCTATGTTCTACTGAAACTGCATAACAAAGAAGGAATGTCAGTTATCATATTCTTCATTCGTAGATGTATATGTTTTTGGTGTATTACGCATTCTAAGCCCTTTAGATGGATTAGTTGTTAGTAGATTGTACATTCTGAACCGCCGTAGATGGTAGATCTGATTTACTACCCGATTTATCCAATTTTTTAGATTACTATTCCAAACATTTTTTGAATGTAAAAATATTTTTCATATATTCACATGCTACTCTATTTCATATTGTATATTTTTCCTCAATTTTTTACCTTGTAAATTTTTTACTATGAATTTATATATACAAAAAGGGTAGTGAAGGTCCAAAAGTGCCAAAATATGATTTTATTCTAAGGGGACAATAGTTGTGTTTTTCGGTCCCCTTTTGGCAAATTTCCCTAAAATCTATATACCAAAATTCGACAGAAGTTGATTGTGCAAGTTGGAAGGGCTGGTTTCGTCATTAACCAATGCCTATTAGTATACAACTTTTCTTTCTTTCCACTGTTATGGGTACAGACTTAATTTGAGTCTTTTTCATTGTTTTTCATCCAATTTACTCAATAAAAAAAACTAATAGTTAGTGGAAGAAAAAAACAAATACAAAAATAACAATTTAGGGAATGTTAACTTCTTCTTCCCCGCTCTACCCTCACTCTCCATTTCTCAAAATCAAAGCTTCTTCTCTTACACCAAATCGTAGTCCTGCTACTGCTTTCTAAGCCTCAGGTGTGTCTCCGATCTTATATTTAAGGGCTTACAAGCTTTAGCTTTCTCACTAAATAACCCTAGTTTTTAAGGGCTTTCGATGACCTAATTCTTGATTTCAGTTATCTTATATTTATTGTTTTAAGCAATCTTCAGGACGCTTATTTTCTAATCATGGAGCGGCTAACATCTCCCCCTCGTCTCATGATAGTCTCAGATCTTGATGATACACTGGTATAAAACACCATTAAACACACTTTTTGCTCTAAATCTAGGTTCTTGATGTGTATATTTAGTGTTCTTGAAGGTTCTTTTGCTCTAAATCTTGATTATTTATGTGTATTTTCTTGTGTTCTTGAAGGCTGATCATTATCTTTTGCTCCGAATCTTGATTTTTGATGTGTATTTTTGTGTTCTTGAAGATTCTTTTGCTCTAAATCTTGATTCTATATGTGTATTTTTGTGTACTTTAATGTTCTTTGCTCTAAATCTTGATTCTTGATCTGTATGTTTTTGTGTTCTTGAAGGTTGATCATTATCTTTTGCTCTGAATCTTGATCTTGATGTCTATTTTTTTTTGTGTTCTTGAAGGTTGATCATCATAATGATCCTGAGAATATCTCTTTACTGAGGTTCAATTCATTGTGGGAAGATGCTTTTCGCCACGACTCTCTTCTTGTTTTCTCAACAGGAAGAACACTACCCATGTACAAGAAACTGAGGAAAGAGAGACCAATGTTAACTCCTGATGTGATCATTACATCTGTAGGAACTGAGATAGCTTATGGCAAGTCCATGGTTACTGATGATAGTTGGGTTGATATCATGAACCATAAATGGGACCGAGGAATCGTCGAAGAAGAAACCAGTAAGTTCCCTGAGTTGACTCTTCAGGTTACTTTCTCTCCTTAACACAAACAAAATCTCAATAGTGTCATGGTTTTGTGATGAAAGAACATTGTGATTCATTGAATATAGAGAGAATGTGATCAGAGACCAAACAAGGTTAGCTTTTTCATTGACAAGAGTAAGGCTCAAGAAGTGATCAATGAGCTGTACCAACGGTTGGAGAAACGTGGAGTACGTACCATTGTTTAATCTTGTCCGTTTACTTTCACAACATGTTATATGATGATGTCTAGTTTTTCAGCTGGAGATCAAAATCATTTTCAGTGGAGGAAAAGCTTTGGATGTTTTACCAAAAGGTGGAGGCAAAGGACAAGCTCTTGCTTATCTTCTTAACAAGCTCAACACTGAAGGGAAGCTTCCTGTTAATACTCTTGTCTGTGGTGACTCTGGAAACGACACTGAGCTGTTTACCATTCCTAATGTTTATGGTGTCATGGTTAGTTTTCACCATCTATAATCTCAGTTTTGTATATTTTGTATTTGTTTTTGAATCTTCTCTTGTTATCACAGGTAAGCAACTCCCAAGAGGAGTTATTAGAGTGGTATGAAGAGAATGCGAAAGACAATGCAAAGATAATCCACGCGAGTGAGAGGTGTGCTGTTGGGATTTTGGAAGCTATTGGTCATTTTAAGCTTGGTCCAAATCTTTCTCCGAGAGATGTTTTTGACTTCTTGGAGTGGAAGGGGGATAGTGTGAACCCTGGTCATGAGGTTATAAAGTTTTTCTTGTTCTATGAGAGATGGAGAAGAGGTGAAGTAGAGAACTGTGAGGCATACATAGCAAGTCTCAAAGCTTCACCTGTGAGTATATATACTTTATAACCCTTGTTTTCTCTCTTTATCAGCAAATCTTACTTTATCCAAGAGACTAATTAACTGTGATATTATTCTTCAGCATCCTGGTGGTGTCTTTGTTCATCCATCTGGGGCTGAAATGTCTCTGAGAGACACCATTGATGAGCTTGGGAAGTACCATGGAGACAAAAAGGACCAGAAGTTTCGAGTTTGGACAGATCAGGTTCTGGCAACGGAGACTTCTCCTGGGACTTGGATTGTAAAGCTTGATAAATGGGAACAAACTGGTAACTAAAGGCCTCAATATGCTGCACAAAAAACCCATATAAATGAACCATTATCTTTCCTTGATTGCTGATATTTGAATTGCGCTTATATATTGCAGGGAATGAAAGGAAATGCTGCACAACAACTGTTAAATTCACCTCAAAGGTAATAGATGATCAAGAAGAGTAGTACTAACCAGTTGTACACTAGTATACAAATCTAGAAGAGTAGATTCAATTTCTTGAGTATTGAAAATGTATTGGTATGCAGGAAAATGGAGTTGTGTGGGAAAATGTTCAGCAAACATGGTCGGAGGAATCAGAGATGAAAGATAACAGCAGCTGGATCATCTAAATGATTATCCTCCGTTTTGATTTTTTCATAAAACATTGCAAACACAAACAAAGATCCTATTATTGTTTGAATAAAACACAAACAAAGATCCTATTATTGTTTGAATAAAACTTAAAATCTAAAAAGCCATCTTATATGTTATTGTTGTTACATATTCCTCATAGTGATAACATTTGCGTAGAGAGCTAAGGTGATAATGAGACAAATATCACTTGCTGGCATATAAATCATCACTTATTACATCAAATTAGCTGGTAATATAAATTCCAATGAGAAAAATAGTTTAATTCCATCAGTCCCAAATGATGCAAAAACAAACTTCCAAAATGTCATAGGCAACACATGCACTCCAGATTTAAATTAGGAAAAATAACCACAACCAAATATAGAAAAGAAACATGGGAAGGAAACACAAACACATCCAAGTCTGATTCTGGTTTGAAAACTCAGAATCTGATGAAGCCTTTGTCTTGCAAACTCTCAACAGTCTCCTTTATGCTAACCTCCAATGGCACAAACTCAACCCCAAGAGACTCTGCTTTCTCTTTAGACACTTTGTAGGTTGGAATAAATATCTTTTCATCTGCACACCTGCCATTTAAAAAATTCAATAAATTCTTTAAAAAGATCTTGTCTGGAATTTAACAATTTCCATAAAGAAAAACAGAGTTGCTCTGTTTCTAACATTAAATAAAGAACTTACTTCTCAGGGAGTTGAAAATCAGGGTAAAGATCATGCAAAATGTTAACAACCTCAGAGTAGTGAGCAACCCTCTCCACTAAACAGTATCTTCCATTAGCATCTGGATTCTCAAACGCTTGAATATGAGCGTTGGCTACATCTTTAACGTTGACCCACCCAAATGTGGCATTAGGAAACGTCTGTGCTCCTGAAATGTAAACCAGTGTTTCAAACTTAGTAAACATATGAATCAAAACAAATGATTTATCTTTTTTCTTTACCTTTGATCAAGCTTAGTACTGCAGCAGCACTAGTGTTAAGCGTTGGCTGTAAAAGAGGACCAATCACCATCGCTGCATTTATCGAAACTAGCTGCATATTGTTCTCTTTCGCGAACTTCCACGCTGCGTTTTCGGCTAATGTCTTGGAGAGTACATACCACAGCTTTTTTACAACAACAAGAAAAAAAAACACAGAGGGTTTTCAGCAAAAGACAGAGTGATAACTAACTAGCAACCCTAAGTTATTTTTTTATTTACCTTGGCAGCTCTGCAATATTCAGGATCGGCAAACCAAGTTTCATCAACAATGGTATCAGGTGTTCGAGGCATGCCATTGAAAGCAACAGCTGCTATAGATGAGGTTAAGACGACCCTCTTAACGGAGGGAGTCTTCAAACAAGTGCTTAGAACATTGATTGTTCCTTTCACCGCTGGATCAAGTAACTCAGCCTGTGAAAACCAAACACACAAAAAGGAGCATTTGATAACTCAAGAGAATGCGAGAAAGATAGATAGAGAGAGAGAGAGAGAGAGAGAGAGAGAGAGAGAGAGAGAGAGAGAGAGAGAACACATACCTGAGGATCTTTGACATCATGATAGAATGGTGAGGCGGTGTGGAAAACTCCTTGGCAACCATCGATTGCTGAATCGAAAGAGCCTTCTTCTAACAAGTTTGCTTTGAACAATTGGAGCCTCTCCTCTGCACCTTCTAGTGCAAGCAAATGCTCTGTTTTCCTCGGATCATCTGTTACATTGAACCATATACATACATATATAACCAATCAAATCTAAAGATGATGTTCCCATCAAAAAATAAAAAAGAAGATCTTGAACATGAATGTTCTATCTAAACCTAAGAGAAATGATTTGTTTTGGAATGAGATTGAATAGAGAGAAAAAAAAGAGAGACGGACTTGGATCACGAACAGAGGCTTTAACGGTGTAGCCACGGAGAAGGAGAAGCTTGACGATCCAAGAAGCAATGTAACCTGAAGCTCCTGTAACACACACCGTCTTCTCTTCTTCGCTGCTCATTCTTGCTTTCAGATCTTCTCAATTAGCTCTCTCTCTCTCTCTTTTTCTGTGTTTTTGAAATGTTCAAAACTGCAATTTTCTTAGCTCTTTTTTGCCTCTTTGTTCGGTTTAAAGCGCGCCATTTTTGGGATGGTCGTTAGAGTTTTCCACGGGATTGCTCCCTGCCAAGTGTGTGACTCCTCTTAATCACGTTCCTACGTTTACTCATAATAAACTAATTTCGTAAAAAAAAAAAAAAAAAAACAATCCATATTTTTAATATTAACTTATTAATCAATCACAAATATGAAATTTTTAACTCTATTCAATCAAAATAATTCTTCAAAGATAAATCTAGTATGTTTTATGAGAACTCACATATAACTATTCTATTTACACCCTAACTAAGCTGTATTTTCACTATAGCTACCTTATGAAGATTTGTGTTTAGCGATGCTACTTGCCATGTAAGATTATTTCATTAGTTTAGCATAATAGACTACAACACTACAAGAAAACAAGTCTTTAGCGACTACAATATTGGTAGTAAATTGGTTGTAAAAGCACATTTACGACTAACTTACATCTAAATGTGATTAGTCGTTATACGCTAGTCGTAATTCACTTTTCGACGCGCATTAGTCGTAAATGTACGACAATTGATGTTAGTCGTAAATCAGTAGTAAAAGCTGTAGTCGTAA